TTTTTCAGAACCATTTGAAAGTAAATTACATATTATGAACTTTTAGGCTTAAATAGAATAAAGATATTCTCTTACATAACCACAGTATAGTTGTCAAATTCAGCAAATTTAACATTAATATTAGACTCTTATCTACTGTCTGTATTAAAATTTTATCAGTTGACCTAATAATGTCCTTTATAGCTTATTTTTCTTCTAGTAATAGATCCAGTCTAAGATCAGGTATTGTCTTTAGTTGTCATATCTCCTTCATTTTCTTCAACCTGGAACATTTTCATAGCCTTTCTTTGTCTTTTATGACAAATTTTAATAAAATGACTGTTATTTTTAGTTTAATTTTTCCTTATGGTTATATTCAAAATATGCATCTCTGGCTGGAACACTATATACGTGATGTTGTGCCCTTCTCAGAGTGTCACATCTGGGGGCACATGATGTTTATCTTTTCCTCAGTCATAATAATTTTGATCACCCAGCCAATTATTGTCTGATTTCTTCACTGTGTGGTTACTATTTCCCCCCTTACAACTACTAAGCAGTTTGTGGGAATATACTTAAAGACCATGAAAATATCTTGACCCTCATCAGATTTTTCTCCTAGTTTTAGTATCCATTGATGATTCTTAACCTGATCTATGCAAAACAATGATTTTCCAATTCCAGCACTCTCTCCATATTTATGTCAGCTTTTGGCGTTGTGCTGTAGGCAAATGTCCTCCTTAACACTGTCAGTATTTGTTAATAACTCCTTTCCCTAATGTGTACCAGTTTTAGTAACTATGTTGACTTTATTGGATGTATATCTGCAGGTATTTAGGTTGTTCCTTCCTCCCTTCCTCCCTTCCTCCCTTCCTTTCTTTATCAATTATGGATTCATGAATTTCTATTTTTTGCAATGATTTATAATTAATTATTCTCCTTAATTGTTTTGGTGCTGAGATGGTTCTAGATATGACCAGTGATAATCCCAGGGTTTTTGACATCAGTTTACTAACTGAAAAGCTTCATAAAGGTCACAAAAAGCAGTTATTTTTGAGTCAGAGATAGGCCTGCATCACTGAGATGATTGTATCACTGTCTGAGCCATGAGGTTTTTTTACAGATGGGAGCTTGCCCAATAATCTGAAAACTCTATGCTGGCTTTGTTTTCTTTACACGTTCGAGAGGAGAGAGAACATTTGTTTAATATAAACCTCCTGCCATGCTTTCGTAGTTGTTTCACAGAGACTGCAACTATGGAATTCTCAAGGTTCAGGCCTGCTGAGGAGGCAAGGAGAGACGAGCTCATTTTACTGGGAGCTCCAAACTCTCAGAAAGGGCATTTCCTTGGTCAGGTCATAGCCTAATTATCTCCCATTTTTCTCTCTCTTAAGGGACATTTTACTGGAAAATTAATGTTACAATAGTAAGAATGTAGTATCAAAGTATATTACTCCTGCTATTAATAACTAATTCCTGCTAAAATTACTCCTGCTAAAATAACTAACATTTTACCAGCACTTATTCCATTTAGAACATTGACGTAAACACTGCAGTTATATTATTCTATGAAGTAAATTATTATCTCATTTTACAGATGAGGAAACTGAAATACAGAGAAGTTAAGTAACTTGCCCAAGGTCACACAATTAGGGGCTGAGTCAATATGGTTCTAAAGCCTAATGTTCCAATTACTAAGCCGAGACTGGCAACGGGGTTAACATTTCTTGAAACTCTTCACCTACCGGATATAATGAACGAACGCAATCAGCAGGCATCCCAAATAGAAGGAGAAGAAGATGAGGAAGCTGAGAAGAATGGATTTCACAAAAACGGATTCTGAGGAAAGAGAAACAACTTTAGTTAGGAGAAAAGAGGACCATGCGTGGGACAGACAGATTCAAAGGCCTTTCTTCGTCATACTCATTCTTAAGTCCTGAGATGCCTCCATTTAAAGCAGCAAAGCTACTAAAGGTCACCCAGACATTATCCACAAACGGCTGCCTGTGTACAGCTTCATAATGAGTTCCCTTTCTTTTGGGAAGGGATTTAACAAAATGCTCTGATTCTCTCTTCTATCTCTAAGGTAAACGTTAGTTTTCTTATAATGTTTCTCTGGAAGGATGACGTTAGCATTGCATTATATGATTGACTGCCGGACATAGGAATCTGTCCACTGAACCCTAGAGCCAATTCTGACCTTTAATGGAAGGAACAATGGTCACTTTAAGGTTCTTTGTTCGTTGTAGATTCCAGGTCTGGTTCTTCTTTTCTGGTAAAAAAAAGAACAAGGAAAAATGGATCAGATATTAGGCTCTTCACCTCGCATCTGAACAGTTGTTCAAAAATGGTCCAAAATTAACTCTGGTTGCTGAATTTTCTTTTAGCAAGAACTAGAGCAGTGGTTCTCAATCTTGGCTGCACATTAGAATCACCTGGGAATCTTTTTAAAATCCTGATTTCTGGGCCTCATCCTCCGGAAATTCTGTTTCTTTGTTA